CCTTCTTTCCTCTGCTTTTCTGCTCTTGAGTAGGTATGAGGCAATGGCTGGCGAGCATTGTAGTCTCGCCCTAAAACAAGAGCGCATGAATGTTTCGAAACTCGCTATCTACCACAAACCACCCAACAACCATACCCTTTTCTCCCTTCGTTCATCGACGCGCATTATTCCTTCTCCCGGATCGACATCAACGCATGATGCGTGGTCTTTAAGTATCTCCACTCGATTACGCATTAGTCATTCATGCGCTCCAGTCGGGAGGTGACTGATGGACAGCTTGGCAACAACACTTGGGGGATGCGTCGATACTTCGTCAAGATCATTCATCGTCTTCCTGCCGCCCTTTCATAACTTACCACATTTAGTACGCTGGCATCTGAGGCGGCATGTAGAGAGTGAGGCGGATCGCATTTCGAGCTTGTTGGTATTGTCTTGGGAATATCATGCCGCAAATCCGGTGCTGAATGCACTATATCTACTTCAATCTGCGTCGCACGCCTATAGCAGCGCCCAGTAAGCTCGTCGCAATATACCAACGGCGTCCTCCACCTCTCACAGATGTTCAAATTCACAAATGCACACATCATAAAATCTACCCTTTGTTTCCACCGCCTGCATTTCCCGCCAACCACCTTCCTATTCTATATTTTTCCTTTCTCATTTTAGCAGCTCTTCAGCATCCGTGCGAACCGATAGATGTTGCAGTGCGCCGCAGCGCTTCACCATGTTGGTGGCTACCACAGTACGAATCAGCATGACCACTTTGGTAACCGAGAACTAAAGGCTGTATGTAGAGCGAATCGGTGGAATGCAGCTTATACAGTCGCAAGCTAAAAAGGCACCGCGGTAAGCCGGCTGTGTTGGAACATGTCATGACGAATGCCTCTATTGGGTTCCAGGACTGTGGTACATCGAAAATATCGATCGTGTTGGGACGGGTACCTGAGGTAGAGAAGCGACAAGGGTGAATGCAACTGTCAAAAACAGTATCTTCATCTTGCTCATAGGTAGGTTGGTAGGTTCGGTGAGCGACAGCGCATGGGCTGACGTTGGATTTGAATTGCTGAACACCAATCGCCCGACACCACGATGATAAGGCCTGCTGAGTACATCTACGAGGCGAGGCGAGGCACGCGATACTGCACACATGTTGACACCGATGTGGCAGTTGCGTAGACTCGCCGCAAAGTTTGGTTCGCTACGCCGCATTTGGGCATAGTTGGGATGTGGTGGCACATTGTACGCAATTTCAGGTCTCACGCAGAGCGAGCACTCCAATTATCACCCTGTCACGTGCTAGTATTTCGATATGACTTCTCAAGGACCAGGCATTCGAAGACTGACGCCAACCACGCGTCCAATCTTGATAGATGGTAGTCTCTCAGCATGACTACCACGCGCCACAGTTGCCTAACTTAGCAGCCAACCCATCTTCCGCCTCGAATAATACAATCTCTAAAACAATAGTCCTTTCCATACCTTTCCGTCCAACACCATAGGTATATATCCACGGCAAATCTCCCGCTCAACCCAATCAAATCCCAGCACCCGCAGTAGTTTTTCCCAAACAACCCGATTGCAAAACACCGGACTCCGCCTCAACCAGCCCTACCACCTTACTTACTCGCAACACACTATCGAGATTCGACATTCGATAGAACTTGAGACCAATAGTTCAACCATATATGCCGCATTTAGTATTCAAACACTAGTCTAATCGGCAACGTGGACGTACTCTGGTGTATGGAAATATTTGACCATAAGCTTCTTTTCTTCTAGGTAATGCTGGGCCTCGGCCACGTTATCGGCATTTTGCGTCAAGGTACCGAGAGTGAAATTGGAGGGGCGTCGGACTTTTGGGGGGTGTGCGTTGTTCCATGTTCGGGAGAGTGGTGGGTTCCGTCGTGGTGGTGGCGGGGGGATGGAATATGGATAGGGCATGTGGGTTTGGACTTGAGGTGGACTGTTTGGTTTTGCGAGTGAGTGAGTGAGTGATAGGCATAGGATTTGCTGTTTCACTGCTTCGTTCATCATCTCGTATACTTTTTGGAGTTGGTACCGTAGGGTGTTGGATGGATGCGTGTTTCTTGCTGTTGGACGGATTCTTGAATTTGGGTCGAGGATCTGCGAGTAGACGCTGGGTTGGACTGAGAACGGGGCTCAAAGTGTGGTTACTTGTCTTAGACTGACGTGGGAACATGTGTAGGATGTGAGTGAGAATGTGAGCGTAGGGGAGAGGGTGATAGAGTGGACGATCCGCTAAAAGTATCACCCCTGGTCTTGGTCTGACGTGAATATACGTAGTTGGGGGTGGGAATTGAGTGCAGTGGAGAGAGTGATGAAGTGATCGTTTACTCAAACAACGATGTTTCTATTCAACCAAATGATGCAGGAAGCTGATTGCATCTATAAGGCAACCCTTTTGTACTTTTGTTCAGCACAATAAAAGCATGCAACACCATGCTAGAAAGAAAGGAAGAAATACCTAAGCAAAAAAACACAACCATCCCTTGTCACCAATTCAAGCCGCAGGCCAAGGATAATACTTCCTGATCCACCCCGCATCCCTCTCCGACGGCTTGAACTTCTCCTCAATCCTCTCCTTGCCCACGACCTTCCCCTGCGCATCCCTCACCACCTTCGCCAACGGGCAGAAATTCACATCCGTCGCACACCTATCATTACTCGCCGAAGTGCCAAACGTCGACGGATACAACATGATGCTGTCGTAATCGAAGCCGCTGGGATCATCGATAGGATTCTCAGGTTCGAAACCGCCCTTCGTATACGCAGCACCGCTGAAACCGTACTCGCGCGCAAACTCGTAGTCGTCGCGGAGTTTCTGCATGACGAATTCGGCGGCGGGGCGGGGTTGGATGGCAGCCATGGCGCGCTGCATGGTGGCGAGGAAGCCGTTGATGTACGTGGGGTTGTATTCGACGTAGGAGTCGCGGTCGTTGCGTTGGTGTTCGTGGAGCATGCCGAAGACTGCGTTGGTAGCACGTGTTAGATGGAAAGAGAAAGAGAGAAGGAAGGAAAAGGGGAGAAGACGACATACCATGACCCAGTTCATGAGCAACTATATGCGCTTCTGCATGCCCACTCGCACTCACACCAAGCCGCATCTGATGCCTCCACCGCGACGCCAGGACTTCCTTCGGCGTATACCCCGACGTCGAAACCTTGACCCCCTGGTAATTATACTCGATCGCGAGCGCATCATCAGGGACCCTAGGGTTCCAGTTCCCGGCTGTCCGCGAAGGGATGTCGAAACTACCAAAGCAGTAGTCTGGGGTGAATTCGTTCCGCACAATATCCCAACGCATAGTCCCGGGCACCTCCATCACGGTAGGCGAGTGCCGTCCTTCGGGCCCCGGGCGCCCGCTGAGCGCGTCGTGCCACATATTGATGGCTTCTTGAAGCATGCAGTTGAGCTGGTCGCGGGACTCTTGGTTCACGAAGCAGTAATGCACTGTGCGGCAGTTTTGGCCGTGGACGTCTTCGATGGGCCAGGCGGTGCGGGTGCTGCCGCGGAGACCGTCGGCGGCGCCGGTTTGCGTGTCGAAGGGCTCTGAGGAGTTATGGTTGTGGGGCTCGTGGTCGTTGAGTTTTGAGGGTGAGCTGTAGATGCCGACCATGGACTCCTCGTAGGTTGGGAGCGGGCCGTTGTATTGGAGATCGACCCAAAGGGAGACAACGGCCGGGACGAGAAGAAGGGTAAGCCACGCAGAGAGCATGATGAAGGTAATGTACTGTACGATCTTACACTTCTTCGATAGGGGCAAAGGGTTTTCGAGAGGCTCAGTGTGGTGGAATGAGTGCTCAAGTCTGGCTGTTGAGGTACTAGAAAATAAAATTTATATGCTGTGGTGCCAGTGCGGAAATTTGCTTCAGCATCGCCGACGTGGGGTCATGATATCATGGTAAGCAATCGTTTGCTCGTGAGTGTAGATTGCTACTGTCATATGAAGGGAACAGAGCGTCCGGCACAGTGAGTATCACGCTACTAAAGATACCGTATGACCTCGCGACTTGATAGTAACGGAGGGTTTGCAGAAACGGCTGTACGTTCGAGTGGCTGGAGACAGTATTTCTCGAGCGAGGATTCAAGTCTCTGCCTAACATGTCGACCCTCCCGCTCAAACTCAGGATACTAACGCTTGCGCTGAAATCTCGAAATGGTTCTGAGTAGTCGACAGTCGGGTTTTTTTGTATGTAGAGATGAAAACACAATATCCTAAATAGTAAGCAGGGCGCTGTCAAAAGTAGATCTAGGTTTTCTTTTCTTTTCGGGAGTAGGCCGCATAAAACGCGATACGTACGTGGTGGATACCATGGTTACTTTTGTTACATCATATCGCAATTGCTTCCATTTCATCACGGCATGCTGCTATCCCAGTTCTCTATCTCTTTTGGAGTCCTGCTAACCATTCATTTGTTGTTTCGCCATTGCCGCGTCGCTTCGCCGGGTACCGGGAATGCAAGGTGCTGTTGAAACGGGAAAGCATCGGACTGTATGTTCTAGAATTACTGTATTAAGGTTTAACTAAGACACGGAGAGAAAGATTGAAAAGTACTGTGTGAAAGTATGCGTAGTAAAAACGCTGTGCGGATGAGATCGTTGCGGGGAGTAGTACTCCGAAGGCTTCGACATCTGCTATCGCATGCATGAGAAAGAGCCTCGTAGGTTCCAAAAGGCCAAAGAGTGAACAGCAACAGATGTATCTTGTGAACTCTCGAAATGACAACGTCGTCGAAGAGAGGTGTAGAAGTGAGGTTTCGAGCTCGCAAATTGTTAGCGTTCCACAACTTCGGATGGAAACCCAATCATCTCACTTCCTTAGCGACAGCCACACACAACCATGTAGAAATCGGTCTAGGATATGGTCAAGGCAGCTCTCTTATAGTGGAAACGCATGTTCTAGTGTTGTATTGACAGGTACTTCTTCATAATTACGTATATTTTAAATTTTAACCCCAAAATTCCATCAATTACAACATCCGATATGGTCTAGTGGCTAGGATTTGCCGCTCTCATTGCAGAGTCAGTTCACTCCAGTAGTGCCGGCAAGGCCCGGGTTCGATTCCCGGTGTCGGAATTTTATCCTTTTTGGCTTTGTTTTTGAGCTTCTGGTGCCTGATTGGGGAGGGGGTGCACGTGAGGTTTTTTTTCGGAAGACGATACGCCACACGTTTGTCGCACCACTCTTTTTTCTTTATTTAGGATCGTGGGGGACTCCGAGCCCCCTTATTTCGCACTGTTTGGAGTGGTTGTTACCGAGGCAGTATGTGTGCCCTGCTATGCGCCTATGATAATGGCGACACTCCATCCTAGTTAAAGTTGAGATCATCAGTCGAGCTTAGAAAAAAGGAGGCCATGTAGAAGGAAAAGATAGGCCACAAGAGCAGAGTGGGGTAAGCAGAGGAGTACGAACAATGGAGCGACAGTACTGAAAAGAGATATATGGCAACAGTCGCAGGAGGAAATGTTCAAATTGGGAATGGCGGAAGAGTTTATTCAGAAAGGCTGTCGTAATGATACTTCTCCTATACTTCTTTTATCCATGATGTTGTCTACAATTCTTATAAATGTTACTATTTTTCTTGTTAGCTCCTTTCCGTGTCAACTGTACGCTCACAGAGACGAAATCCTGAAGTCGATCTGCTTAGATTCCCCTGTGCGTGAAATTGCAAACACGGCTATACGTTCTATGCGCTTATCTTATATCATATGATCCTTATCCTTTACGGTAATTCCTTGATCACCAGAGTCCCGTCTCGCTCCCCTTCCGTACTCTTTACTAGGTTTGTCTTCTCTCAGACTCTCCCCATCCCAGACTGGGCCTCCTGGATACAAATAGTCATCGTCGAGCTCCTCTTTGCGATACATCTCCCCACTCATTATGAACCCTGGCTGGTCCGGCGCCAGACCTTCCGGAATCAAGATGCCGCCCTGTGGAAGATCGCCTTTAACCTCACTCGTGACTTCAATCTGAGTACAGCTTGGATAAAACTGCGCAGGTTCCTTGTCTTCTGTGGCGTGGACCCAGATGAGATCTATGCGGAGGAGGTAGTGGCCAGCGGGCGTCTGGGCCGGGATCTTGAATACAAACTACGCGTCTGTCAGCATACCTATTGAGGGATGTGAAGATGCGCGTAAAATGTAAAGGATGGGCTCACCCTTGGAATAGGTGTATCCATATCTTCGTTGTTCCAGGGTAGCCAGTTAACCTTTCTCGTACTGTTCGCGTCATGTTTTAGGCCCAGAGTGTAGATCTTGAGCCAAGGTCCTGAGCCGTCGTAGTTGTGGATGTTCTGTCCTTTGGGAATTTTCGAAAGGTGTGCAACTACAGGGCCGGGATGCAAGATGAGCTGTCCTGCTCAGTATACCCAGTTCTCTTCTCTGCCATATCAAGATGACGTACCTGGGGAGTTCCGTTATCACAGCTCCCTCTCCCATCCTCGCAGACCCACATGTCATCTGTCCAGAACTCCGGATTATTAATCTGATGCGCGTATTCCAGCTCATCGCCCGCTTTCAACTTCAGCACCTCAGTGTTTGCAGCGTAGGAGAGACTGTCGCGACCGCAGCGTACGCTGGTCGGCTCGTTGTACCACTCGGTTGGGAAATGGTAGCCGCGGTAGCCCTTTGCGTAGGTCCCAGTATCTACTAAACCTGGCCCGTGGTAGGGCTCGTAGTAGGGGTCTGTCTTGTTGCGGATGAATCGTGTAGGTGTTTGCCAGACGCTGTTGTGGGCGACGCGAACGAAAGTGACTGCAAATGAGACATTACCTATGGTAGCTGAGGATTTTTCGACGCGAGAATTACTTACGGTGGCCGTCGACCGAAGATGCTGCAGCTATTAGTATAGCAATGAAAGTTTTGGAAGCCATGTTGTGTCTCAGACTGTGCAGCGACAAGTAATAGTGTGCAAAGTGCAGATACACGAACCTGCAGTTCGCTGGCCTCTTTAAAAAAAAATTGAAAAGAAGGATTTATGCCGTGTGCGTATCTACCAGATGGTAACGTAAACTCGAGTATTGGTTGAAGACCTTCGTCAATGACCCCATGACCGGTACCGAACCAACCGGTAGCTTAACTCATCTATTGAAATGTGGAGTGGAAGTATGTTCCCGAATTCCGCTTATCAGTCACAATTCTCCATCTCGCTGTTAGGGGAAAGCAAAAAATACCTAGCTAACGATGAGGACGATAGTCAATACCATTGAATGGATTGCACAACATCCCCAGCACACTATTCGAAGCAAAACTAGCTAATGCACGGCCCTGTGAGCGGGTCGATGGGCTGAACCTCTTAAACACGCTGGCCTTCGTAGAAACACTTTTCAGGCGTAGGCAATGAACGTATTTGCAGCATTGCGACCATGGTGCTTAAACCTGCACATCAATATCGTGCGACCAGTGACATCACTCACGGCGCAGAGCCGTGTGCTATTGCTTGAACTACCGCGAACGAGAAGTCAGTCATCAACTTCAACCGGACGTCCGGCTGCGACGGTTGGGTGATCATATCACACAGACTCGAGGCTGATGTTGTGTGTAGTCGTACCACATACGACGGCTAGTGGCGACCGCGACCTTCCCCCGTCCTACTTTACAAGCGAGTCGAGTCTCTCACACATGACAGCACCAACCTTAGAAGAAATCTTCACCATGCATCCAGCGCCCAATTTCCTCCTTCCAGTATCATCTCCATTCATAGCACAGGCATCATGAAGGAACAATATCTAGGCAACCGGATCAAGCCATATGTTAATTTACGACCATCTTCGTGAGGTTGCTCGCGGTGTCAAGGCTCAACGTTACTGAATCACATGTTCAGAGGGTCAGCAGCCGGAACCTACCCCATATCCGCTTCTAATGGGACCTACCCCAACACTAAACCATCACCGCGGGCAAAGAGCAATTACAATGTAATAAGTGGGGCTAAGCCACTGAGTTTACGCTTCGACGTGCGGCTGGCGTGGTGGTCAAGCACATGGCACGACTGTGACACCATGGTTCTCACTCCGTGCGTCCTACCATGCGAGTCAAAGATTCTTGACACAAGAAGGAATGTTCAAGGGTCGTTTCACACACCCAAAATTTCAACGCTCTCTCCTCCACTGTCTGGAATTTCTGAAAGCGCCTACCTACACTTCCGTCAAAGGAGCTCCCTTTGATAGACTGTGAGTGTCCGAGCGATACCGAGTTCGGAAATTTGGATCTTCGATATGGCTGGATCATTGGAGCAACTGACATCCATACATTTACGGCTGCGAGGACTTGATCTATACACGTGCGAAAGGAGATTTGCACATAATCAAGATCAATCTTGAGGTCACCGTGTAATCAGCATGCCAGGACGCCTTGCAACAAACCATCACTCGGTGGTGTGGGTTACTGCCCGCTACAAGCCATCGTGCGACAATAATACCCAGACTAATGGGATAACGATCCTAAAGAATGTGGCATGTGTTCGTCGAGCACGCGGTTTATGACACTATAGATATGACTCCTCTTCCACCATCATACCGAGTTGAAGGCTGCGACTCATGTTGGAACTACTATATAAAGCATGAACTACTGCTTCTATGAAAGTCTCCTCCTTCACCTTCACGAGCACCTTGAATCATATTGTGAGGGGCCCCCGAAATCTCCTTCGAGCTACTTATATTTCTCAACCTTCAAACTCCCACTCCACCTAGCCTGCTGCAGCATTGCTTCGAAATCATCATGACGAAATCTTGGCAAGATCGTTGTAGAGAACACAACATCAAGGAAGATGAAAAGGCGGAATACAAAGACGAAAATTTGGCAAGCAGACTAGTCCATAAATACTCGACCGCCTCACAGCTGTCGGAAGACACTGAACAGCTGAAGAATGTCAAAGACATATGTGGAAAAGACGCCTTGATTCTTTTCCTGAAGGACACTTTGGAGGACAAAAGGATCTTACGCGACAAAAATGCGGAAAATGAGGAACAGCAGATCTCGACCGCGGAACGGCAGATCTCGAACATCGTCGAGGCCATCGGCCAAGACGGGTGGAACTCGGTTATCGAAGATTTCGTCAACACGGAGCGGAACAAGATTCTGGATTCTCAGAAGATAGTTGAGGTCGTGGGAAAGAGCGTCAAAGGGACGGATGATTGGAAGAACATGGTTTCCAAGGGGATCAAGGATGGCGCCTTCAGCCAGCTTGGTGAGAGGGAGGAATATGATCGCATGTTGTGGCTGAGAGGTACGTTCGATGCTGCGACATGGGACAGCCTTATGTCAGACGTTGTAGTGCCTTTATCCACTGAAGTCGATTTCGGTAATGAGCGCGACATCGATCGGCATCAACTCAGGGTCAACTTGTACACCTGGCGCTTCTTCATCGAAAAGAAAGTCGGATTTGTGGATGCTAATTCCCGAACCTCGATGCTGGAAAAGTACAAATATCTACATGAGCACGGTCAGGACCGAGTCTGGAACCAGTTTCTCCAGGTAAAGAGGGGAGACCCCGATAATACGTCGACAGAGATCTTCCTCGACTTTGCAGAGATCTTGCGACTTGGGGGGAAGTGTACGTGTACACTTGAGATTCTTAGTGGCAAAGATTGTCGAAAGATCTGGAACTGGCTTCACATGGCACAGGAGGAATTTCAAGAGAAGTATCCTCCAGAAGAGCAAGAACCTGTAGACAGATTCGAGTACGAAGAGACCACGACGAGAGAAATCGAGTTCCACGATGACCACTTCACCCTTGTTCTGCTACCATGGAGGCGAGGCCCGAATACTTCCGACGCATTGCAGTGTTGCCCGATATCCCACCAGCATATGCAGGGCTACCCTCCAAAGTATGCAGCCTGCCAGATTTTGAAAGAGACTCCACCAGAGGAATGGACTTGCGGCGGATTCCGCTACGATGACAATGCGAAGGAGGTTCAATTTCCTCGAGTGACTCGTTGGCAGGGTGGGAAGTGTCTTCGCTGTTCCAACGGAGAGCTAGGACGTGACATCAAAAGTGCCCATCGTGGATACTTTGACCCTACCTCAGACCAGCTGAAGGACCTTAAAGATTGGGTATATTAGGGGAGGTTGAATTTGAAC